TTAAATAGTTGCTTTTTTGCTTTTCTCGGTAATCGTTTAGTTGTACATTTATGGCATTACATGACACTTCGTCGATATGTTTTTGTGTTACTATTTGCGTTGTGGTAATTAAGGGCATAATAGGTATTGTTGTGTGGGAGATGGTTTCTTTGTCGGCATACCCATTTAAATTATGCAAAGATTGGAGCAATTGATCGTTTAAGCACCCGAGGTCTTGACTTAGTTGTTTTGCTTTATTATTTTCGCTTCGAAGCTCTTCTTTTAATTCGCCTATTTCCAAAAGTTCGTCGCTTCTGCTAAAACATATTTGTTGCGTATTTGCCAAACTTTGCAAAGAGTCAATCCTTACTTGTAGAATTTCCAAGGCTAGTTTAATATCCCCTAATTCCTCTGCACTATCGACATGACTACAAACGGGGTTTGAGTTTCCAGCGTCTTCCTCAGTGGGTGTTTCTATATGAGGATTTGACAGAGACAATTCCTGGCAGATCCCAAGTACAATTTGCTCAAAAGTCTTACCAGATTCTCCGTGGAATACCATAGTTTGTTGCTTACCCTTGTACCAAGTTAGCACAAGGTCTGAGAGCGAACTCGTAAATCGCTTTGCACTGCCGCCAGGCGATGACCACTTGCCCGATTCTGCGATAACATCGTCGACGAAATTTTTCAATAAATCGAGGTCACCAGACCATTTTAAACGTTCATCATTATGTGAGAGGTGTATGCAATATTTAATGTGATTGTATAGACGGGATTTCCACTTTCCAGCGTTTTTAGATGAATAAGTTTCAACACAGCTATCAAAAGTTGTTGCCGCCATGTTGTCGAGTTTAAATGTAATCTCGAGGGTAATCTCTTTTCTTAGTACTGATATTGGATAAAGGACTGTGTAGTTGACAAGAAAATATGACGCTTGCATTGAAAAGATCTCGATGAACCCATAGAATACTTCACGACTTTATCCGCTAGAAATTAACAGTCACGTAGTCGGCTCTTGTAATTTTGGCAAAGTTCCAGCCTCGTCCCCAGCGCATGTTATTGTTTTAATATAATTGCGTGATTTTTGTCTCGCGGAAGCACACGCGGGGAACGACAAGGACAGAAGAAACGCGCCTGGCAAAAAATGCATTCAAGATGACGAAATGTTAGAACGATTAAATATTGATCGAAGAATCGGAAGATATCTTATGTGAGATTTCGGGACTGGAAAGACTAGTACATACTGCTTTCAGAGCAGGAAAGATGTTGTGTCCAAATGAATTTTGTATCGAAATTATTTTTGGCTATAATAATATTCATATTTCACACGACTTTTATATAAACATCAAGATATTAATATTGAGGATTAAGGTAAAAATATAAGAATTTACCTTCGATGGTCACGTTCTGAAAAGACTTACCAATTTATTAGACCATTGTTCTTCTTTAAGTTTTTTTTAAAAGTTGCCAAATCTCACTTTTCGACACATCCCCGCCTCGCTGTCGCTGCCACCTCATCGACTATCGACTATAGTAATCTAAAATATTCCTCAATGGCCGGTTAAAACTCTTAACGAAATACGAGTAGTTAAATAAGTAGTTAAATCGTGACTCGAAAATACACGACTCTTGTTAAAAATTAACTATCTTTGACGAATGATCCGTCTGATCGCTTGTGTTTACACAGAGACGAACTAGAAGAAGAACTATTTTTCGCTAACTCAAGTTCGCCAAGACGGATCAGTCACGGATGACCCGTCTCTAGTATAAATCGGGCCAATATCCCACTCACTGCATGACCTGTATACTAATATAGTATTATATAAATTCAGTATATAAAGGTCAGTGTCTCACTCTCAGCCGATCTCGCGCTCAGAAGAGTTGAAATAGAAATCCATTCTGTGTATTTCATCAATTATATCTTAAAAACTAAGCGAGATTTTGTTATTAGGGCAACATGTATGCGCTACGCACTTACTATTATGCCAACTTCCGCTTAATTGATACAAAGTTATGTATGCATGCACATGCAAGGTCGTTATGATAAGAAAAAAATGGAAATCAGTTGTCTAATAAAAATTATACAAGCGACATCTTGTCACTAATTCTTGACAAGACTACACGCAGAGGTACAAGACAATACGCATAAAAATTATAGTCTTCGATATTCCTCAAATTCAAACGATGAATTCATAAATAAAGACATAATTATAGATAACCTATGCAATTTGCACTTTTTCAAGGCGTTGAAAAACAGTACAGAGATTTGGTTGTGAATTTGCAGCAATTATTCGCTGTCGCAAAGCTTTCGGTCTCTCGATCTGTTAGTTCAACGCGCACAAATCTAATATAATCCTTAACACTCAGCAAAGTTTCGTTCTTCATTGGACAATTCTGAAAACTATTGCACCTTATGATGATGAATTATTAACCAGCGCTTTTCCACTTAGCAATATGTTTCCGCGTTTTTAGCCTTAATTAACATAAATAGCCAGGTGAATACATTGCTATATAACTGAGGGACCAATCGTGGCCTTTGTTGACTCTCGTTGCTAACTGCATGGTTTTTGACAAGTCGTCAAAATCGTCATTTCAGTCGACGTTTTCTTCGATATTCTCTGCGGATCATTGCGAACTGCAGTGGAAAGAAAATGTCCGTTTTGCTGACCATCTCGGTAAGTTCTTTTGTTCCTTCTGTAAAGTGTTTGTTTGCCTGAGAAAGTAAGCTCACCTCAAAACTAGTAAACTAAATGTGTAATTTAGTGCTGGAAATGAACTCGTAGTTGCGCATGCTGCCGAGCTACAAAGATCTCTAACTCCATTAAACAATTTTTTTATACTATTGTAACTGCGTTTGGAAAAAAGCTCTGCAGCTGTAAACGTAGGCATTAACCCAGGATCGCAATAATTGATTAATAAATATTACCAAAAAAAATTTTCTGCTAGGATGCACTAAATATTAATACTAGGAACAAATACTATTTTGAGGCATGAGTCCCATTTACACAACACTCGATTTGTTGGCACGGCATGGCTAAAATGGGTACCGTGTCCAATTTTTTTAGTGTTCAGGCTGCCAAAACAAAGTCCGGGCACGGATGAAATGAGCACGGGTTCCCATTTTAGCCTTGCCGTGCCAATAAATTGAGAGTTAGTAGTGTAACCGGAGCTATGGAGAATTAATTAGGCCTCCACGTTCCACCAACGACGGCTGTGGGTGGAATATTGATAGAAAACATTCTTTCAAATTCATTTGACGAGTTGACAAAGTCTCTGTAGTTTGCTAGGTAAAATTCTATCCGCTACAAGAAACAGCCCGTCAAGATCAATATTTTGCGCACCTTTTAGTTGCGTGCATTGTCACTATTGTTTGTTGTGAAAACATTCACACTGCCCAATTTTAGGTGTGGGAATTAAAGGACAGATAATCAATTATTAATTTGTTTCCAAGGAAAGGTATAAACAAAGTAATCTAGTCAACCGCCTGCCCTTCTCCTTTATTTGGCAGCTATAGCCAATATGCTTCAGCCTCGTAAATTGCATTACGTACATCGTACATTACGGTCACGTTTTTAAAGCGTTTCTACTTTGGTTTCCGCGCAAACACGGGAAAAACAACATCAAATCGCAAGAGAACTAAATGTTTTTCAATCTTCTGTATATTGATTTTCAGTATGATCTGGGAGGAAGAATCAAAAATTTTTTAAAATATCAGTGATGCTGACGCAAACCAAAATTTTATAGTTTTAGCGAATCACAAGCTTGCCATAGTTACCAGTTTTATCTCGCCGACAGCTTGCGCACGCGCATAACTTACTAAAACGCCAAACATCCATGACATAATGGCGGGCAACCCAAATTTTGCATTTTCTTTCCCGGGTATAGCTAAAACACCGGGGCGGAATTAGTACCTCGCAAAACGCTTGGCCCAAATAGAAAAATATTCAACATATTGCTAAAATTGTAAATTTCAGCAGCAAATGCGCGTTATATCATGCACGTAGTAAAATGCATATTATTTTCACTATAGCACAGGCATCCTTCGCTCGGATAATATGAAACAGCTGGAGATTTAAAAAATGGCATTCTAGATTATAGAGTGTATAATAATATAATTTCTTAAAATCACCGGCAAGCAGAGAATCTACATGATTCTGGGGCGATTACTGCCGACTATGAAAAGCAGAATTATACCGTTTCATCAACGTGAAAACTGTAAGAACTTGAAATATTTTTGAAATACTTAATACTATAAATAAACCAGGCCAGCACGAAGTGGCGTATGCATACAACGTCGTAGCGGGAGGTCAATTAAAGGCTTTTATGGACTTTCAGGGGTCGGTTGTAATATTAGTTGATATAACGTTATCAACCGAATAGTGTTTCTTCCAATCGCTCTAAAATTGCTCGTGTTCGGTAATTTCCCCTTGTTCTGGTTTTATGGTAAGACATGTTCACGCCAGTTGGGCTAATGGCGCATTTTGACGCTGCTCGTTCTAAAAACAGCTTAACCTAGCATTCAGGTTCTTGATAAAATGGACTGCACGTTGATCAAAATGATTTAAAAAATATTTTTGCTGCACAGGAGTCACGGAAATGGTTGCCAAGAATGTTACTACAACCAAAGTGAAACCAAATATTTCATATTTTGTAGCACAGACCAAAGCCTCCGCAGGCATCATAATTGTATTACTTTGCACTAGCCTTAGATTAAATTAGTCTTGGGGTTGCTGTGTCAAGCAAAACGAAGGAAAAATAGGAGCCCCTCTCTAAAGCTCCCGAGAGCATTCATATAAATGTAAGCAATTACTTTTACAGAAATTGCTCATTTATTGCTTCACTTTCCTGAGCCATCAAAATGATGAAAATGACTCCGTGGATAAGTCACAAAAAAATAAAGTGAAGTGCATGGACGCGTCAGTCTAAAAGTTTATTTGTGTAGATATTATTTTAAATGATTATTTGCTTAATAATCATCATAGCTCATTGTATATTCTTAAGTGTTCTGTCTCACTTTCTAGACTATCTTCTTCTCGTTTGCTGTCAAGAGTGGATCAACAGGTGAGACTTTTGAGAAGAAATATAAGACAATGAATTGTGTAATTTGTACCACAGCATACCACAGCTTAATTTCTCTAGTAATTTATTCTATTGCTAAAGCAAATGATGTTTTATCTCTTGCATGCAATTGATCCCCCTGCGAAAAAAAACACATGCAAATCCCACATGTGTTTCACATGTGATCATATGTAATTCACATGTTAATAAATGTAAGTAAATGTGGTTACATGGAGTCTATCGTATTGATGTTTCCATATATTTTTCTTATTGTTTCTTCATTATTTCAATCGATCCGCGCTAAATACTATACTGTTAAAGAAGCATCAATTTAAACATTTGAGTGTATAAAACAGAACTATTTTAATAGAAATTTACGCATTTTAGTAATGAAGCAGATTCGGGGCTCATAACCTCTATGATAATGATATAATCCTTCAATATTGCACACTTTCTATGTTTGAACCGTTCATTGCAAGTGACTTCATTTGCCAACGAATATACGGATACCCATGCTTTGTCACAATTGGCCATCCCATACGCAGTTACCCGTTAATCATGCAAGCTATTAAGCATGCACTGTACTTTGCTTTCGCTTTGTTGTAAACGCAAAGAAAAGGCAAGCTAAAAGTTACATAAACCGGAAACCCCCCAGTAAACATATTGACATTTCGCATATATGAATATTCGCATATATATATATATATATATATATATATATATATATATATATATATATATAAATAAAAAAAATTTAATAAAGAAAATTGTTACGTTTTTAGTAGGACTAACATACACAAAAAACTGACGATGATGCATGTATAATGTGGCATCCGGTAATCGATATGCAATGTTTTTTCTAGCGTGCGATCCCAATAATGTGGAGGCAGTTGGAATGCAGAGTGGGTTGATTTTATGGTCACAACTGACTTCATCTTCTTCATCGGAAGGTAACAAGGCCTCTCACGCAGTACTGAATGGCCCTCGCACTTGGTTGCCGGCCGCTAATGATACCGAGCCATGGCTTCAGGTTGATTTTTCAACAAATTTGCAACTGGTGTCGTTAAAGACGCAAGGTTCACCAACTTCCGAACAATGGGTGAAGTCGTTTACGATTTCGTATGCTAATTCAAGCGGAATATTTAGGAACTTCACGCATGGAGAAAATTTCACGGTAAAAACTTAATGAACAGTATAAAAAATATCTCTTACGTACCATTTTTGCTGCGGGGTGTAGGTCTCAAATGAGACCGATTGGTTGCTTGAACAAAATTCAGACCGCAACAAAGCTAAACCTGTCTTTAATCCTGAACCTCAAACGATGCCAAATATGCCATTTTACTGTGCTATATGTATACAACTCGCTTATTTTATAATCCTTAGTTAGTGTATGTAGAAGTGGCGTTCTTTCATAACTATGTTTTGAACCCCCCCCATCGCCACACACACACCCTATATTTACCCCCCTGCATGAATATGTATTGTGCTAATACGAACTGTGGTTGGAATGAAATCATGTTGAAATGTTGCAACAAATGATTAGAGAAAGTTGATCAATTCGTGTGCATACTTGTCCAACACCAGTTTTAATTACCCTTAAAATACTTGTTTAAAATTGTGCCTGAAGGAAGAAGCGAGAAACAATCAAACGATTTAACAAGTTATAGTAAAACTTAGGGGAATTTTTTGTACCAGCAAATGACTATACCGGAATTTATAAGTCTATACGTATATACTTTAATAATTTAAGTACATCTGACGTTGGAAAGCCCAGCACGACACGACAGCACGCCCACTCACATGCAATTGAACGGCTAAGAAACTTTTAAACTACATTACGCGTATCATATGTATTAGTGTAAACTCTTAGAACTTGGCGCACTCACTAGACTTTTTAATTTCTTTTCGTGGAAAATAATTTATTTTGCTATACTTATAGTCCAGAAATTCACCAGGTCCGCACCATGCACTCAAAATTGCCTAGTGTACTTTTACGAATTCATCGTGAATATTTCTGCCGCATTTCTTAGAATTTTTCCGATTGCGTTACCTACTCTTACTCCAGAAAAAGAAATTTAATAGTCGATTTCTAACCGGGCGAAAACGGTTCGAAGCTGCCATATTGAAATTTTATGTATTTCGCGCGCATGTATGCACCTGGGGAGTGGAAATTGCAGACGAGTTCGCCCGCTCGCAATGCTACATTTCGCTACGACCTCTCGATCGTGCAATATCCTTGTTTTGTGGCATAACTATGCGAATCCTTTATGGTACTGATTGACTTTCATTCACCATCTTTCATGTTTATAACAGACCTTAAAGACAATAAATAGATTTTCATTCTTTTTCTGTATATTCAAACAGGTGTTTCGAGCAAATACTGATGCTACTACCATTGTCGAAACAACCCTGCCGGAAGAGACCAAAGTCCGTTTTCTGCGCATCAATCCAAAAACCTGGTCGAAAAGACCTGCCCTCAGAGTTGAATATTATGGATGCTATACAAGTAAGTGCAACTTTTAGAGCATGAATCACGTTATACTCGCGGTACCCGAACGTTTTCTCACTCCTCCCAGCACTCGGCGCCCCCTTTGCCCTATAATTTATTCAGCAGGCCGCACAGAGAGGCCCAACGGACCACTTGCATAATGAACTTTGGATCTAGGCAACAAGAAGGAAATAAAACACCACCGTTATAAAAAGATACATATATGAGCATAATTAAAGTAATGCATACCAAGTGCTTGCACTTTTTACAACGTTTTACAACGTTTTACAACGTTCAGAAGCAAAATTCATCATTATTAAGTCCGAAAGGGAATTTATTTTTATTCGTCCAAACTTATGAAAATGAAAATATGCGACTCTTACTAACATTTTGTATCAGTCTTGTATTTGCTCTTGTTTATCCATTTGGTTATGAAAGCATGCAATATTCGATAGCTAAATGACTGATCTTTCCGAATGTGCCGGTAAAAATCTCGTTTAAAGACAAAGCAGTTTGCGTACAGTATATATAGCGTGTTAAAGTTGCATAACTTTTAAAAGTTGCATAACTCATTTTATACACCCTGGTTTACTCTATATACTTCGTATGCTATTTTGCAATCATTTAAATCCGGGCGGTTCAGCCACTTTTCGTTTGACACGGGACGCTATATATACAGCTTATTTTAAAAAATTGACACGGGACGCTACAGCTTATTTACCCTCCTACCTCCTCTTAGCTGCGGCACGATGGCAGTCCCTTTTCTAATGCTATATGCGGAATTTTTTTCTGTCCCAATCGTAGTTGGCTTTGAGACAGAATTGAATTGAGGGCCGCTGCACTACAGGGTGTATAAAAAAAACTGCAAATACCATAATTTGTATGCACTTTAGAATTTTAATTACTGTGAAAATACGTTTCCCAGGGTTATCAAAACAAGCACACAAAGTGAATTAAAATTAGCTGAACCATTCGTAATCGAACTCATAAGTTTAATTAACTTTGTGTGCTTGTTCTGATAACCCTGGGAAACGTATTTTCAAATCCCAGAAGCGTAATTAGTTGCACAGTCATTGAAATTCTAATGTATAATCTCGTGCATACAAATTATGGTATTTGCAGGGGTTTTTTATACACCCTGTATTGCACGACTTTTATAGGCTTTTGCACTTATAGCAAAGGTTGTATATCTACTTATGATATCTACTTATGCAAATTACAATGTAGTGTTCGCAAATGTGTTCACACCTACTTCTGGTAAACCCTGGCCTGTATGGGCCGGGTTGCAAATGCATCTTATGCTACCATGTATGGGTTTTTAATGTCTCATTTTAATCATAGTAATTATAATGCATCGAGCTACGGGCGATCGAGCCTGGAATTGATTACAAACTTCTGTAAAATTTTTTCGTGACAATTGAACGTTTATAATTGTAATTTTACAATAGAATCCTTTTGGATGAGAACCTTGCGATTAACGGCTCATTGGTGTTAATATTATTATGATTTTGTATCTTAGCTTGTGCTTCCGCCGGACCTTTGTCATTCCTGGACAGCCAAATTACAGCTACAAGCACTTATGCAAGTAGTATTTATGCTCATCATGCAAGACTGAATGATAAACTTGGATGGATTTCAGAACACTCTAAGCCAGCATCGTTGTTGATAGATTACGGAAAACGAACTACCATAACGGGAATTAAGGTACAAGGCAACTCTGAATTTGCCGTATGGAGTTCCACGTTTACAGTTCAATACAGTAACGATGGATTACGCTTTAAAGACTACAGAGAAGCTGGCAGTATAAAGGTGAACAAAATTTAATTATTCTTTGGCTTTCTCAGTTTAATGAAACATGAGACAAAAAAGGTTGATTTGAGTTGTTTAAGAGTACTAAATTTTTGTTTATATTGCAACTTAACCTAATTTAGAGTTATTCGTAGAAATCGTATATATAACAGCTATATTACGCACCTCGTCGGTTGTCAGCTCATAAACGACTTAAACTCGTGGTATAATATCGATATATAATACCCGAGGTAGTGTACATTAAGTGTTATGTTATATAGGAAACATACATGTTACACAAAAATCTCATTTCAAAAAAAAACATGCACTTTGCTTTGTTATGACAATATGTCGGGCAACAATGTTTCACTTGCATGTTTCCCTGCATGGCGGGAAACATTGCATTTATTTAAAATCATGTGACTACGAATGAACCAATCACATTTAAAATACACAGCACCTATATAACAACAATTTTTGTTTTATAATACAGTTACTATAAATACTATTTTATGAACATTGCATAAAAAATTTATCGTCTATTGATTAATTTTCGTCAATTTGACATGTTAAGTTAAAAACAAAAGGCTGCTTTTTGTCAGCTCTATATGCTTCCCCTGTAAATATTTCTATCGCATATTTCGATGATTTGTTTTAAATCTCTTTTAAATCTAAAAAATTTTCAAAAAAGTGTTTTAATTTCTTCTTTATTACTCCTAAGCAAAACATTTGACCATTTGTTATAATTTACCCTTTCGGCTTTTCGAACAATTGTTGTAGGTATATTATCCTTTATTCCTGAACAGTGTTTCCTTCTCAATTATTTAGACATTCAATGGCCCAGTTGATGCTAGTACTGTCACCGAAAGATCGTTCTCACATGCTATATTCACAAGATTCCTAAAAATTCTAGCAGCGCTTTCGACAAATTTCTATCCAACAAATCCAGCAAATACCCAATATAACTTTGCCGCTTTAAGAATTGAAGTTCAGGGATGTCATTATGATGGTAGGCGAAACGGTTACTCATAAGATGTATAGAATAGTTGTTCGAGGGAAATATATTATAGTAAAACAAACAGTTGTTAAGAATTGTTCCAGATCAATACTGAACTAAAATTCTGTGCCAGAATGACCCTAAAGAACGCCGACTAATAAACAGTATAATAGTTTATAGGCAAATGCATGGAGTACAATCTAAAATACATTGTCATTGTATTTTCAATTGCGATTTTGTTGTTCATCTGTTTTCCAGATGACTGGTTTTATTCACTTCCCCTTGGCATGAAGAATAATCTCATTTTGGACTCGCAAATAAATGCTTCATCCTCGAGGTTCTACACATCGGGTGCCGGTAACGGTCGTTTGAATCTGACAACTATACCAAACGTGCGACATGGTGGTTGGATAGCAGCGGACGGTGATAAAAACCCTTGGTTTCAAGTAGACTTCATCACGAATGTGACTGTGAGCGCACTGCTCGTGCAGGGTTTATCCGGCACTGCGTATGGTGTCACGAAATACACAATTGCGTCGAGTGATGACGGCAAAGTATTTTCAGTCAACAAGAAGGAAGACCAGCAAACAGAGAAGGTGACAGTTTAAAGTGGTCGTGTAGATGTACACCGTATAAAATCTTATTTTCGAGAGGATGAAAAATATATTCGTTATCCCACTCTGATTATATTTATATCTCTATCGTTTAAAAAAAAATAGGATTCAAATTATTTGTAATTTTTTAGAGGATAAAAGCACGTTTTCATCGTTATAAACCATATAACATTATTTATTCCAATTTTTGGCGTGAAAACACCTGCTTTACTAAAAATAAAAGAAAATGCTTTAATAATTACTTTAAAATAATTATTTTTTTGAAATTAACATGTTTTCCATATTTGCACACATATATAATATAATATACAGAGCATAATTACATCAACCTTTGGCAGTTTAGCACATGAAAGAATGCGCTAATTGGCATCGAGTGCTATGTTTTACAAATACTTTTCATAACAAATATACTTTTGGTAAAAAGTAAATGGTATAGATAGATACTCTATGAGCTTCATAAAAAGCAGGTAACTGGAAAACCCCGTTAATCAGTTTATCACTTTGTGCAATTTAGGTGTTTTTTGCGACAGGCGAGCAAAGTATTTTCCCACATATCATCGGGCGCTTTATCCGGATTCAACCGACGGGGTGGAACGGTTTATGCGCGATGAGAGTGGAATTCTTTGGCCGATATGAAGGTAGGAAATTTTGATGCCTTGCAACATCCATCTGCCATGCAATATGCAGTACGGTAAAGTCTATATGCGGTACGCCAATATGCAGTATGGTAGCTACTTTAGAATAAGATTATTTGGGAGCCGAACTTGGCAATTTAGCATGCTCTTTTCGGAAATTTGTCGCTTTGTGTCCATTGACTATAGGAAATACGTGCACACAGCACCCTAGTCATGTATTTCCAACCAAGGAAATAATGTTATATGTTTCATTCATCCAAACAATCGCACGCGTAATACAATTCTAACGCAAAAACAAAGAGAACGGCGCGTGCCTCGCTTTCGTGCAGACGGACGCCATTTTTTTCTTACTCGACTCCTTTGGCTAAGTCTTGCAGACAAGTGATGCAGATAACCCTATGCATGTGTCTTAAAGCAAACCGCTCTCGTCTTTTCATCACAGCGCATGCATGCTCCAAAATGATATTTTCTGTCAATTTTAGAAGACAGGTTGACCGTTCAGACAATCGGAAATACTCGTCGTTTCATATTTTATTTAAAACAATGAGGGTTTCTGAAATAAAAGAACAGGTGTAGACCCAGTGTAAAGGACGATTGTTATAACCCCGAAACTAAAACTAATACAATAAGAGTACATACCTAATGAAGGGAATAATACAATTCTAGTTCGCAGATTTCGACATAAACAACATTTACATTTATACTTATATGATGTTTTGACATTTGAGTGTGCATGTGGTTTGTCCTGTTAACGCCAATTTAATCCATTTAAATTAATAGTTGAATCGGTGAAAACATGTTTGAAAGCTCTACCCAACAAACACACGAAAGCAAAGATGCCATGCACAATAGCGGGAGCGCGCTGGAGAAAAACCTATCAAACGCACCTTTGGTTATTAGAAAATTAAAATTGATGGAGCAAGGAGCATGCCAATGACCACGAATGACATTTTACTCAGCACATAGCTCTCGTGTGCGCCGGCCTGCCTGTGGCATAGCAAGACAAAATTATCTCACTACGCCACTTCTGAGATGCCCTTTATATTTTTTTTGCAACGGAATAGGTTTATGTATTGTTCTGCTCTTCGTTATTTGTACATACAATAATAAATGATTTTCTCCTCGCTTATTTTTTACTCAGGATGTGGGAATCCCGAACCACTCGGAATGGAAAATGGTAGAATATTAGATAGGCAGTTGACTGCTGCACAGGAACACGACAGCCAGCCTGCGCCATACGGTAGACTAGGCCATGCAACTGGTTGGAATGGTGGATCGATGAGCAATTTTGATGTTTGGTATCAGGTAGATTTCATAAAACATGCAAAAATCACAGCCATAAAGATGCAGGGAGAACAAGCCTCTTACCATATAAAGAAATTCAAGGTCTCATTCAGTAATAATGGAATTGATTTCATTGAATATGTGGATGTCATGGGTTTAAAGGTAACTATATATAATATATTTTTGTGTTTCTGCCGTAATACAATACAATGTACTTGTGGGTGTAACTGTGGTGGTTAGATAAAATGTGACCAAATAGAAGACTATTGTAGAAAAAATTGAAAATTCTATGCTGCTACATATGGTTCACAGGTAACTTATATCTAATCACACCAAAGCCTACTTCTACGACTTTTATCCGGATTGTCTTTGTTATAAACTTTCCTGACTAGTTAACTAAAGCACTCAGGGGCACTGCCTTTCGAGGATTACCTGAACGAAATTTCCCAAACCTTTTCAGACTTGTTTATTGACCATATAACTAGAAATACATGCATGGAGCAACCCCTCGCCATTTCAAACGAAGCAAAATATTTCCTGAGCTAGCCAGACCTAACCTTCAATATTATGAAATGTCCTAAATGTAAAGCCGATAGCTGATGTTTTAAATATTTCAGAAACAAACACAGTCGTAAAGGTGAAGTGAAATCACCCGTTTTCCTGCTGCTTTCCGTTGCATTAAGTTACAGACTTTCACAGTTTAAGTGAGAGTTAATACTTCATTATAGCTAAACCCTCAAAACATCAAAACAGCACAAATAATATAAATAACCAAGCAGTGAACGTCGAATGTTGTTTTTCGATTATTAAATTCATGCAGTGATTGCAGTCGACTCTATAAACCTTTAAAGTGATATTTGTTATATTAAAACTCCGAATTACACTTTTAAGGACTCTTTTGGAAGTTAAAACGATGATGTAAAGCCTAAATAGTCGGTCACGTCTTCGCAAAACCAAGCAAAACGACATACTGTACCAAGGTCTTAAAATGTATTCGTACAGCAAACACGAAATAAACCTGGAAATAAACAAAATAGACTCCTACCATTTCAAGGATTATAATCGAGTTGTTACGCCATCAGTCAAAACTCGTAGTCGCCGGGCTTTTGAGTACGAGTTTTTTGATAAACTTCGTACTCGAAAGCCCAACGACTACGAGTTTTGACTGATGGCGTAAGCAAACAACGCGCGATAATGACGAATCTCGTACTCGTAGTCGTACTCGTAGTCACTGCTAAAGCTCGCTAATAGAGAGCTTTAGATTTGACTACGGCTCCCGCTACGGCTACGAAATTCGTCACTATGGCGCGAAACAAACGTTGTATGCATACGCCACCTCGTGCTGGCATGATAAACCTCTGCAAACACAATAATAAACGCATGTTTATCCCGTTTATTTCGGAAATTTACCCTCACCATTTCCAAAAATACACGTATTCAAAGGCCACAGTCATGGAAAACATTTCTCTAAATTTTTTTTCTGGAAAAAAACGAAAAAATGTCAACTTTTATTGCTTTTTAAATCACGTAGTCAGGACTACGAAGTTTTGTCAAAATGCCGTAGTCAGATGAGCGAGGGCTACGTGCCTCTGGCGTCAGTACGAAGTATCACGAATATCACGTAAATGTGACGAATCTCGTAGCCGTAGCGGGAGCCGTAGTCAAATCTAAAGCTCTCTAATAATTTTAGATTATGCAAGTCTGTGTAGCAGATGCAGTATAATATTAATTATATGAGAGATATGAGACGAGATTTAACAATGCATTGTCTTTATTTTCCCACTCCTTTTAACTAAAATACAGTGAAATTAACTTGAAAGATAACAAAATAACTATTACATAACGATCTGGCCTTCCTTGTCCTCATTGCCGCTGACCTGTGATAACTTCACGTCTTTTTGGAACGATCTGCAATGGAACCTGCACAAAAGAAAACTAAACATACTAACAATGCATGGGCAGGGAGAAGAGGCGGGAATGCATTGTTAAATCTCGTCTCATATCTCTCATATAATTAATATTATACTGCATCTGCTACACAGACTTGCATAATCTAAAATTATATTTCGAGATATTCGACTTCAATTTAACAATGCATGTTCAAAGCTAAATTTTTTATTAGGGCCTATACGCTGATAAAATTGCATTACCAGGAGAAGCGTTAAAGTGTGCCCTATAATAGAACTTTGAGAAAGTGCTTTCTTGGGACCAATCTGCCATCTCTAGGATTTCAGAAACGGAGACTCCCTGACTCAATGCTTCAGAAGTAGAAGCTCCCCGAATTGAATGGGCAGAAAAAATATCAGTATTTATGCCCGCTAACTCCAACATATTTTTAATCCATCTAGCTAAGGTCGGTGAAGTGACCGGTTTATGAGGAAGAATGTATGACAAAAACAACTTGTTAGGTTGATCAATATCGTTAGATCTAAAGCCTCTAGTACAATTTTCATAACATTTTAAGCAATCAACTGGGCATAAGACCTTATCCCCATCAAATTTTGCATGAAAGCTCGATTTTAACGAATCGCCTGGTTTTGATGTCTTTGATAAGCCAGGTAACGTAAAAGATACCCCTTCGGGATGAAATGTACGAAACCGTAAGTCCTTCTTAACCAAGTCTGAAGATCGATCTGGGGCTGTAAGAGCGAGTAAAGTTACCAACTTAAAGGACAAGAACTTAAGACTCAATTTTTCATTACTCCCCAAGGATTTAATGTAGCCTAGAACTTGAGAAACTTTCCAAGTATGGGAATACTTTGGTTGAGGAGGTCTTAAATGAAAGATGCCTTTTAACAATTGAGATACTAAAGGATGAGCCCCAACCTTGCTGGAGTCAATTTCCGGTAAAACTGCCGACAAAGCTGATCTATAGACATTGATAGTCCTATAAGCTTTCCCCTCTTTAAACTGATCTTTGAAAAACTCTAAGATCATACTTATAGATACTGAAATGGGATTGATTTTCCGTTGAGCACACCAGCTAACCCACTTATTCCAGGCTGAGGCATAAGCACTGGTGGTATTTCTTCTCCATGCTGCCAACAACAGTTCTCTAGTTTCCTCTGAAATGTCAGCTGTTCGAAACATCGGCTGACAGTCTCCAACCAGCCAACTGGAGGTTGGTTAGTGG